GTGTATCAGTCAGTGAGGAGTCTCCTCTGGGTCTGCATGTTGTGTAGGTGGAGTAGCCAAGTATTGCTGAGCACCCTGCGAGGGGAAAACTCACCCACATCTTTCTTCTGTAAAGCTCTTTTCTTCCTGTCAGAGAGCCACTGCAAGCAAAGGTATACATCAGTCTTGAGCTCATTATTCATACAGGAACCCGAGCATCAAAGTTTATCCAACGATTTGAAACATAAGACATTTAGGCCGCTAATTCTTTTATTCCTTGATTATCTTCCAATTTCCCTTCCACTGGTAAGTTTAACCATTCTACACCAAGAACACGTACAAAGGTCGTGTTGCTTAGGGGTCTGTGGACCAGCAGCTCTACAGCCAAAGTTTCACTCATTTAAACTCTGAAACACTCAGAGCTGTTTCTCGGTACCGATCCCAACACCAGCGCACATGTGCCGGAGCAGCTCAGCCGGGCTGGGCCCCGCGCCGGCACCGCGCGGCTCCGGATCCCGCCGCGGGACCCGGGCCGGGCCGGGCCGTTCCCCGCGCCGCCCTCACCTCCGGGAGGCTCCTGCCGGCGCTCAGGCTGTAGATCTTCACCTCGTTGAGGCTGGAGACCTGCATGGCCGCAGCCGCGCCCGCCTCTTCCCGGGCAGAGAGGAAGCGGAAGGCGAGGCGCTTCCGCCAGCTCGGCCTGCGGGCCCGGCGGGGAGGGCGGCCGCGGCTCTGCCCCTGCCCCGCCTCACACCGGGGAGAACGGGGGACGCGCAGCAAACACGCGGGACAGCGAGCTCCGCGGCTCTGCCTCTGCCCCGCCTCACACCGGGGAGAACGGGGGAAGCAAAGCGGGACAGCGAGGCCCGCTGGCTCCGCGGCTCACAGCAAAGCAGCTCCGCGGCTGCCTCGTCCTTGAGCGCTGCCCGCGGTCCCCGCGCCCCGGAGCGCGGCGCTGGCAGGGGGCGGGATGGGGGCAGAGGGGCGGAGGGCAGGAGCCGGGATGGGGCGGAGGGCAGGAGCCGGGATGGGGCAGAGGGCAGGAGCCGGGATGGGGCAGAGGACAGGAGCTGGGAGAGGGCAGAGGGCAGGGGTCGGGGCAGCCGTGTGCCCTCTCCGCAAGGCTCGGCCCGTGTCCGGACACAGAGAGCCCTGTCTGTCCCTCGGAGTGTCCATCAGGCAGGCTGTGGCGTCACTCTCCATGTGAACTCAGGAAGGCAGGAGCTGTTCCTGCAGCCTGGATGGAGCAGGTTAATCTTCTCGCCCTGTGGCAAGCCGTGTGCGTTAGCCCTTGGAAAACAGTGAGTCCCGGATTTGCTGATCAGAACCTTGCTAGCGACCACAGAAAGATACATTCTTATTGCTTTGTAGCATCGCTGTTGAAAAAAAAGAAAACCAGTATCCAGAATTCCAACGATTCTTGTTCCAATTTACAGTACCAAAAACAAGGACTGAAATAATGTATATCCAGTCCATACACACGTTGAAGAAACAATGAAAATCACAATTAAATTTTTAACAATGCATAACTCTGGCACTGAAGCAAACTGAAGCAGTTTCAAGTAAGTCTTATGCATGGTGTTCCCTGAATGGTGTATCACAGCAATGATGATACCAATATCATGACTAAAAAGAGTTCCATTTGGGGTTGTATTACGGGGTGTTAGAGCTGAAATTATTGAGAGATGAGCACACCTAAATACAGGTACCTTTAAGTTTAAACTAGGTGTTTAAGCTCCTATTTCAGAGAGCTAAGGCTTTACTTGCTTATATGTATGTTGCCTAGTGACATTTGAGATGCTGTGTGGTATCCAGGGCACCTGGACGGGGCTGACACGAGACCTATGGAAAATCCAAACCCTTCTGCAGTGTAATCTGGAGGCGGGCAGGATGTGCAGGGACATCTCTGGTGGCACTAGAAGCTCAGGCAGCTGAATCTCATCCCTGGTAAATGCAGTTAATTAAGTGTGAAGGAGTGTAATGCAGCAGCCACTGAATGTCTTCTATGGGGTGAGTTTGATCAGGTTCCACAGTCTGATTAGAGCAACATGAGCTGTTAATAGACATTTAAAGCTGAATTGCTGAATTCACTGAATTGCTGAATCCACAATTCTGGATATTGTAAGGAATCCCAGATATTCATGGGGGGTTGGTTGATATGGCTTGGGATGTGCAGAAGACCTGTGTTATCCTAGAACAGCAGATTGAAGGCCCAACAGGATATTCCAGGGCACTCAAAAGGCATTCAGCAGTGTCTGATGTCTGAACCTACAAAGAATTCCTAGAGGTGCAGAACACTGGAGATAGCAGCTTTCCTTCTAGTGTCAGTGTCATAATTGTCTAGGTAATTAATTCTGGTTATCTGTTTGAGAAAGTTGGGTATTTCAATACCCTTAATGATTGTTTGGAGGCAAAGTTTTTCTCCCTCAGTGTGGCACCTGAAGAAGCACTGACAAATACTGAGAGAGACAAAGTCACAGAAAAGTTCATTGCTTTGGTGAATCAAAGGGAGCAGAAAGACACGTGATGATCATGAGGGAATTAGACAGCTTTGAGATCACATGGCACCACATGCAGGGCCAGCCAGGGAAATGAGCTGGCAGAGCTGTGTTACCACCAAACTGCAGCATGATCCTTGTCCCTGGCATATGCTGCTGGCTCCTTCCCCTTCACCTTCACTGCTGTGTCATCCAGCCTAAAAATATGTAATGGGGTAAAAAGAAGAAAGTTTGAAAAGTCACAGTAAACCAAGAAAATATGATAATGGAAAACATTCAACAGGACATTGTTTACACATTAACATCGTTCTTGTTTCTTTTCTTCTTAGTTTTCTTTTAAAACAATAGTAGCATAAAATATTTCACTTTAATAATAGTAAAAAAGCTATATGAAGGGTGAAAAAATGGCATTCCTGCTATAAAGATGTTCAGGAATTAAGGAGTGTATATATTATAGAATCCAGAAATCCAACAATCCTATGGCTTGGATTTTACCTTATTTGTTATAACAAGCATGTGTACAGAAAAACATTCCTAAAATCTAGCACCTCAGCAGCAAGAAATTTTTCTCATCTGATAGCAGTTTCAACTTACATGATCTAAATTTAAGGAGATTATGAGAATGTAACATTTCTAAAATAAATTATGCAAAACATTTCCACAGCTTGAGACTGCACCAAGGATCCAGTTAATGCTGTTCTTGGTTTGAGATGGGAAAGAACTGCCTTATCTAGGTGATCAGGTCCACTGTGCCTCTCAGACCTGTAAGCTGTGGGTAAAGATCTATGTGATGTAGATACTTAAACATCAGTTAAGTATGTTTTCATTATTAAAATGTATAGTCTAAAGAAACAAACAAAAAAGAAGGATTAGACAATAATCACTTCTGTGAATGCCATCTCGTAGATCAATATATTAATTTTTTCCCATAACTTCTGGAAAACCCTTTGTCATGCCCTAGGGGACACTATGATTGAAAATAATTAGAATCATAGCAGTTATGAGAACTGAATGTTTAATTAGCCTAGAAAGGAAAAAAAAAAGCAAGCAAAAAATCTCTATGAAATGGTTATTTCAGCTACAAATCTTCTCAATGTCTTTTTCTGGAGTGCTTTCAGTAGAGACTTGCCTCCTCCACACATGTATTGCTTTTTTATATATTACTAAAAATGTTAAAGAGAAGCAAAGGAAGATGAATCCTTGGCTAACCTAAAGAATGTATACATTTAGGGTTTAAGACCTTGACCTACACATTAGCTACCTAAAGCATGATTTACATGACATCATTTAGCATGCCTTGCGTCAACTGCTTCTTCCTAATGCTGAAGACACTTAAATCTTTTAGGGGTTTTCATTCAAGGTTCTTGGAAGTGTCAAGAGCTCTGCTTCTGTGCATGTCCAGACCTACCTGCACCCAGCATCTCAAGCCCTCTCAGTTTACAACAGGTCATGTGGAAAACCAAGAACATCCTTCTGTTTAATTTCTTGTAGGGGCTTCATTTACCTTTGTTACAGAGAAACATGAGTTAAAAAGACACAATTTTTGGAAGAAAATAAGCCCCCAGTAATAGCAGAGATTGCCTAAGTATGACAAGTATTTTTAAGTATTAGACAACTCAACTGGAAGATGAGAACTGGATAACCCCCAGTGAGGGGGCTTGACTCCCTGTTGCAGAGATGCCTCTCAGGCAGGTACCGAGTGTATAGACACTCGTTACCTTCAGAGCATGCCTGGATTAGAAATGCCTGGAGATCATCATTCCACACAACCTGGGAAATACTCTCAGTGTCTTAACCAAGCTTAAGGCAATGTAAGACAAGCTCAAGATTTGCTGAGATCTAAAAGCCGCAGCTACACGTGAAGGAAGAAGCATCACCAGGAACGTAAGCATCCCTATTTTGCAGACTCCTGCACCGCATATTTGTTGAATGAAGCACTTAGGGAAGTCACGGAAACAAGAGTTTCCTAGAAGTCTCTTTAATTATTCCAAAAGCTTCAGACTTGCTGAAGGTAGTCAGTGTTTAATAAAAACAAATGGTTTCTGCATTATTTGCTCCAGTTTAAAAGGCAGCCAGGAGATGGAAAGCTGCCCTAGTCAGAGCTGGGACAGAGCTTTTAGGGCACCAGGCGCAGCAGCCCCCCTGTGCTTTGGGAGGGAGCCCCGGCCCCCTTGCACCCACCCGGGGCTGCGGCGGCCGCCCCGCGCCTCGCAGCGCTCCGCCCCGACCCTGCCCGGCCGCTCCGGGCCCGACCGCGCCGGCGGCACCGGGAGCGGGAGCGGGCACGGCAGCAGCAGGAGAGACAGCGGGCAGGAGGGGCAGCAGGCAGGAGAGACAGCGGGCAGGTAGAGCGGCGGGCAGGAGGGGCGGCGGGCAGGTAAAGCGGAGGGCAGGAGGGGCAGCGGGCAGGAGGGGCAGCGAGCAGGTAGAGCAGCGGGCAGGAGAGCGGCGGGCAGGTAAAGCGGCGGGCAGGTAGAGCAGCGGTCAGTGCCCCGCGGGCCTCCCCAGCCCCTCACAGCCCCTCACAGCCGGGCTGGCAGCGCTCGGGCACGGCGGGGCCCGGCGCGGTGCCGAGGGGCGGGTGCCGCACCTGCCCTGCCCCGCGCACCTGAAGCGTGTGGCGGGGATGCTCCGCGGGAGCTCTCGGGAAGGAACGGAGGATTGCGGTGTGGTGCCAGCTGCTCGCTCTCCTGTCCTTATCTCTGCTTCGCACCACAGTAGTTGTCCCTCTGTTCTCGCCGCTGTTCAATCTGTGTGGCTCTGCCGATACCGTCCCTGTACACCAGGACTTGCCTTTCTCCGGGTCCTTCCTATCGAGCCTGGGAAGAAAAAACACAGAGGAGAGCAATATTCTGTCTTGCCAGTGGCATCATTTGCAGCCTCTATGTTCTACAGAGGTCTTGCTTTCATTTTTCCTTGCAAATGTCCAACAATTTGAGAGAGAATATCTATCAAGCAGAAATTCTTTAATACTTTTGGGTGGTTTGGTAAAGCTCCCAAGCTCCCCCATAGGCACTGAACTTAAAGCACAAGGCAAATGGAACAGGCTGGGAGGGAAAAGGGGAGGAGGAAGCTTTATTTCTTCATGCAAAAACTGGATGGAACAATCCTGAGAAGGAAGGAACAGCCACACTCTTTCCGTGACATTCTGGAGAAGGTCATGTTCCATTTCAGCCTGAGACGCACAACTGACTCACTCTCCTAGTGTTTCTGAAGAAAAGAAATCAGTGATCTGTTCTAACTCTTTCTATTCTCAGGGAAGAACACATTTTGTGTGGTGCTCTTTTAGCCACTTATCTGCTTTGAGTTTCTACAGTGACCAGCAGTGAAGGGGAAATATTAGATCATGTCGGAGTTCTGGCTAATTTCTGCCCCAGGAGACAAAATGAATTTGCAGGCATGGGAGAGAATGAACACTGTGACATCTAAATCCAACCTGTCCAGCAACAGTAAATTCCATATTCCAGACTTAAAGGTAAGTGAGGGATGGGATTGTATATGGGCAAACCAGCAGCATTAGCTAGGGCTAAAGACTTCTGGGATAAATATGGGATTTATCATTTGGGATAATATGCAGAGAGTAGAAAGAGACTGTGGTTGGGGGATGAGTTGTGTTCAGTCAACTGAAAACTGATCAGAGAGAAATAAATCATTGTGCTTGAAGCTAAGCTTCACATTGAAGGGTAGATGTATAAGAAGTGAACATGAGTGAGATTTTAAATAACTGCATTGCATTCCATATACAATTTGCTCATAGTCATCAAAATCATACAGCATGGTCTATCATACATTGTTAATGCAAAGGGAGTAGCTGACTATCCACAGCCTTGGCAGCAAGACTACTGACAGAGAAGAGTGTTGCTTTTTTGTATACATACCTGAGATTGATAAGATTTTTATCATCCATGGATTAATTTTTATCATCTGTGGACCTTACCCCACTGGTGGTGGTGAGATTCTGCTGTGTTGAAGGAAGTAAAGCATTTGGAGTATCTGAAGATGCCCACTTGCATTCTATTTGTTCTACATAAAATTTGTTTCTTTTCCTTTAGATTGACCCCACATAATGTTGAGCTGGCAACATTACAAGAAATGGTTTGGCAATATGCTGCAATACCATAAATATGGGGTTATGACTGACAATGATTCAAAAAGCAGATATTGGTCAGAAATGGCTTTGTGAGAGACTTGCAGTAATAACAGAGAGCACAGACTGACACCCCCTTTTGAATAAGTGCTGTTTCCCTTTATTCTCTCAGTACATCTGACTTGTTTGTATGTGTGCATTATTTGTGTGCATTTCCAGTCATTATTTTTTCTGGTTAAAGATTGTTCTATGCAGCTTGATGATACAGGATGAACTGAAAACAGGAAGAAAGACGCTGCTCTGTAATCTTGAGACTACACATACTTTTTTCCTTTATTGGAAAAGGCTTTTTATGCCCTAGTTTTTGGGTAAAGGAGTTGCTACTATTTTCCACAAAGTAAATAAGGTTCTGCCAAACTGTTAAATTCACATGTGCTAAGGACAAGTCAGTCTCCTGAAGGCTCTGCCAACAAAAGCCTCAGACAGAGTTGTGCATCTTTCACTTATTTCTCATCTTTTGCACAGGTGGGGACACTGGATGCTCTTGTTGGTCTGTCAGATGAGTTGGGAAAACTTGATAGCTTTGCTGAAAGGTAAAATAGATCTTATTTACCACCTACAAATGAGAAACAGACATTGTTTTTATGGGGTGGTATGTCCTTGTGTTCACCTCAGTCTGACTCAGTTCAGCCTGGACTATAACTGGACTAAAGTGGATAGGCTTTGTTTAACCCTTGTGTTGATTGTCATGGAGTTATCACAAAGAAAGGATCATTCCTTAAAATTTATCTGAATTATATCCACAGTAGCTTTGGCAGCACAGCAAGTGGCAGTGCTAGTGAAGCTGTTTCTCATAAGGAAACTGCTTTAAATGGTGGGTTGTGGGGTTGTTTTGTTTTGTTTTGTGCTTTTGTTTTTGTTTTAAAGAACATCCTCCCACCTTATCGAGAATGTGAAGCCCTCCCTGACCTTGTTTTGACAGAATATTTCTATTGAACTTTCTATCCCTTTTCAACCAGATAGAGGACTTCTAAGGATTATACTATTTTAAATGAAGTCCAGATCGCTCCCTCTCAGGATTTTAAACTCCTTAAAAACCAGAGTATTGACTCCTATTGCATCAAACCTGCTTCAGCAAAGACTCACATGATCTGCTTGCTGATAATTACCAAGTTTGCCTTTTGGGACAAACTGACCTGGGCATACAAAAGAATAATGTAGTACAGCAATCTAAGAAAATGCCAGGTTTTTCCATGAAGTCTACCTTCATGGAACAAGATAGACTTTGAGGCAGTGAAGGTATAAGCTGCTGGGTTTTTATGCTTTGTTCTACTTTTTGATTTGGCAGCTTACCTAATTTTGGTCACAGAGATATGAATTAGCTCTGGGTCTTTTTGCCTTTTTTCTCAAAGTCTGGACTGATAAGCATTTTCTTGTCTAAATATGTTCAATCCTGGTATAAACTGTTTGCATCTATGCTAGGCAGTTTAAGTAAAAGTTGGTCTGCTAGAATACATTTATCCATCACATTTTTGTTTTCTGATTTTACTAATGCTACACAAGGGTTGTATCAGAATGATTGCACATGATAACTCTGGGTAGCACACAAGACTGATCTTTTAGAATCATAGATATGATTCATATCTCGAGCTAAAACTCATCATTGAGTCCAACACCCTGCTCCTCACAGGACTACCTAAAACTAAACTATACAGCTTTTTCAGGACTTTAAGCAAGACAGAGCAACTTAATTTATCAACAAAACCATCTTCATCGTGACCCTGCCAAAAATACTGCCCCATATTCTTTGTAACACGTTCCAGCTTCTTCAGTTGCAGAGGTTCTTGAGGAGGTGGAAATGGGGGCAAATTTGGGGAGAGACAGTGCCCATACCTGCTGTGTGTTCTAACAGAAAGTGTTCAATGATGCTTGCGGATCTCTTCAAACTCTGAATATTCTGAGATTCTGTGTCTCTAGTCAGGGTAGGAGATAGGAAGCAGCTGTGTGATCTGTTTGAGGGCTGCCAGAAATCATCAGAACTGGTTTTTCAAAAAGGCATAACTAATTGCCAGCTTTGTGAAGAATTAAGGGTTCTGAAGAGTGCAGAATCCATGTAAGATCATGGAGGGCAGTTAGAACTGAAATGTCAGTAGGAGCTCCTTAGGCTCACTGACTCCTGTTATCTTTGTCTTTACTTGCCAGCATGATACAGCTGCTTGTTCAAGCTGAACACCACTTTACTCCACTAATCGTCCTTTTAATGGCTCTTACCCTCTGATGGGCTCTAGGCACATAGCAAAGGGGTCAGTGAGGCCCTTCCACTGTAATCTGCTGAGGCAAGGACTCTTCCTCTTTGTCTCATTTACCTGTCAAGATAGGTAACCAGGAAGGAACAACAAGATTTAAAAATAAGAAAGGTGTTTTGAAAAATAAGAAAAAGGCATTAGAGTAGTAACAGAGAATAACAATAATCAGAGGTATTAGCAGACTGAATCCCACAAGGACATACAAAAGCATTTTGCATTAAATGAATGCCTCAGGTTTTATGTCTAAATTGTGATTCAAGGGTTAAAATGCCAAGCACTCGCACTTGGTTGAAGCAAATGGCATCCAGAGGATTACAAGCCTGTTCAGATGACCTGAGCATTTATGTTCCTGGTCCTGTGAAAGAGCTGCCTGCTGAACTGTTGCTGGATAAACACAGCTGCCAGTAAAGCCAGGCAGTGCAAACCTGTCAGCACTGCCTCCTGCCAGGACAGCAGAGAAGGGGCAAGAGTTTGCAGGAGCTATTGTTTCCACATACTTTTATTATTTATTTACACAGGGAGGAGGAGTGTTTTTCCATGTCATCCTGTGGTAGCATGGAGCTCTCTCAAAAGCTGACAGTCTCCTGGGTCACTCTTACCTGTGGGTTCTCTTTGGTCCTCGGTCAGTGGCATACCTGGGAGTGGCCTCAGACTGCAGGACTTCTGCTGCCTGCAGTGTTTTGGAGGCCTGGTGGGTAGCACCCTTTCTTTTTTAGTATCATTTAAAGTGTTAGACTTTTTTTTTTTTTTTTTTTTTTTTTTTTTTTTTTTAAGCTAATAACATTGTTGCTATTGCAGAAGCAAAATATCAGAGTCTCAGGACATAGTAGATTAATAGTAGATTAAATTGAGTTGCTCCCTTTACAGATTTTAATTACTACTTCTTGAAGCAGTTTTGCTGAAACTCTCTCTTTTTATAATGCATAATTTGATAATGATACTTGCTCAAGATGGGATTTATTTTATCTAAAGGCAGGGATCTGATACTTGGCTGTGAAAACTGCCCATTGTTGGATGTCAGTGTAGTCAGTGGGGCCCCTCCAGGGGTCTGATTCCTGTCATTTGCCCCAGATATCCGTGGCGTGGAGGGGATAGATTCTGTCTTTTCATGGGAAATATATTAGAGAGTGAATCCCACTTGCATTTCACATGATGCAATGCAAGGCTAATGCAGGACTGGAGAACATTCCTCTGGTACAGTGTATTCACACAGTGTTGCTGTATCCTGCTGCAGGGACCATGGGATGTGTGGGTGGGAAGGGAGCCAAGCTTTGCCTGGGCAGGTAGGATTGTCAGGTGTATGACAGCACACACCTGTCCCACCCTCTGTATCCATGGAGAGAGGCCAGAGCTCTCTCCCACCTGTCAGGTCAGCCACCAGATGCACTCAAGAGTAATGAAAGCAGCTCAGATCCTTTGGAGGAGCTCCTGGTTTATACACGTCCCTGTGAACTGCTTTCTCCATAATGTCATTAGCCTCCTGCTATGCTGGTTTTACCAGCTTCTATCTTGTTACAAGTTCTTTGGGCTCTCTGAGCACCATGAAGGAGACAAAAAACAGCTCTATGTACAAGATGAAATTTGCAGAAGTGCTTGGCAAAGTTGCAATTGTCAGGGAACCTGTGTCTGGATCCCTCAGCCCCCACACAGCCTGAGTGTGGGCAACGTGTGCTGTGCTCTAACAACCCTCAGCTGCTGCTAGGTCCCTAGGGGGCTGCAGCCAGTGGTGAAAAACTGCAGCAGCTCTGAGAAAGAGATGAGAACTGGAGCATAGTGATATAGATTCCTCCTACAGGCACTCTGAGTTGCATCTGTCCAGATGCTAGAGGGACTTGATTAATCAATTTCTTAAAATGAGCAAAGAATAAGTGGCACAGTGGAGATTGTGTTCTCTAGGAGGGTCTCCTCAAATCACTACTCTGAACTGGGCAGAAGGATTTGAATCTAGCTCTCCTACACCTTAAAGGAGTGTCTTGTCCGCCATGCTAAAAGAGAAGAGAGAATGGGTTCTGTAAAGAAAAGGAATAAGAAAGAAATTCCCTACCAAGCAAGATAGCACTGCTATTTTCCCCTGAGTATTTTCTGAGAACCTTTTCTCAGTGAGCCCTAAGGATTTCTTTAGCATCCTGTGGAACACGTCTTCAGTCAGTGTCTGTATGTAGCCTCCTTTGCTTTCATCGCCTTGAGAGATTTAAAAATTAATTTCTTGCCTATCTTGCCTTCTGGTTTCTGCTGTGTATATAATGAGTGTACAGAAGACTGGATCTTGATATTCTGTAGTCCAGAGCACAGACATTACCTACGTTTTTGCAGAGATCAGTGTATTTAGAGGTAAGACATTTAGTTCTGCATTGTATCCTAGAGTTTTTATTATAATTTGAATTGCAAATTAACCTGCCTTGCTTCAGGAGTGTTTTGTTTGGGCATTTCTCTGTTTATCAGATCACTATGAAACTGCTTTGTAATAATTTTGTTTCTTCACTAACAAAGTTTCTTTTGTTACACTTAAGCGTAATAAAGAAAATAGCCCAGTACATAGGAGAAGTTATGGAGGACTCAAAAGATAAAGTCCAGGAAAATCTTCTGGCCAGTGGAGGTACGTGCTATGAATGTGGGGTTTAAATGCATTTATGCTGATTTTGCTTGCTTCAGAATTTGAGTATGTGGAATTGAAACCCTCACACTTCAGAAAGGACAACCATCAGCAATATTTTATAAGAATGTGTCTAGCCTGCTCCCATTTTTCTCAGCAGAAGCTAACTTTGGAGTGAAGATGAAAGTAAGAGACATCCTTGTTCACTCCTAACATGACTTAGCACACCTGTGCCCTGCCTGGGCTTGATTTCTTAAGAGCACTTAAATCTCATTCTGTATGGTTGTGTGACAACTGTTAGTGATCTGACAGTAATTTGCACTGCCCATCTATTCTGGAAAAATACAACAAAATTGGATGTGATCTGCATGCTGATTACAGACTTACAGCATGATGCTTTTGGATAAACTAAGAGTGTACAGTCCATCTCCCTTTGTCAGAAATGTGGTACTTCAGACCTGTATCAATAAGGGATGGGGAGGAAGTTCTTTTAGGAACGTCCTTAAATGATATAAAACTGATGTTCGATGGGTGCAACTGTTCAAGAAATACAATAATCCCATTTACTGTGTTTCAGGGCTAAAGGATAAAATGAAATGTCTCCAAAGTATGTTGAGGACTGATGGTTGTGGTGCTGTTACATGCATGCATTTGTGTATATTAGTGCTAGACACAAGTCTTGGTCTGGTTGTAGAGATACAGTGATCAGGTTACGATGGATTTCTCAAGTAACAACCTCGTAGCTTGATCACGATATCCCTATGACTTGAGAAACAACAGGTTTCTTTAATTTCCTTTGTTTCCCCTTTTTACACCATTTTTTGCCCCCATCATCTCTGCATGTGTTGTATTAGAAAGATGTGGAAATTACTTGCATGTGTTACTAATTTCCTCTGTCTGGGTCTGGTCATCCAAGCAAATCATATTGGATTAGGACATTAACCTTTTTAAGATTACTGACTGCATCTTAAAAAATGAAGTCAGCTTTAGTATATGAGGATTCCCCTAATATATTCCAGTGTCAATCTTCATAAGCATCAGCAACTTTACTGGACCAATTCTTCCTCCTTCCCATTCTGATTAGTAAAAGAACTATAAAGTTGAAGACTTTCTTGAGGATGTGAAATCAGAAACAAAATTATAAGACATGATTTCTTGTTGTGTGGTCCTGTTTCATACTCTTTGACCATCCCAAGTTGGTTTTAAGTAACACTAACTTTAGCTCACTTGTATATAACCCCAATAGCAGTTTGGTAACAGCTGTGTGTCTAAAAAGATTTTTTGATAGATTTTTAGGGGAAAAAAAGCAAAATTGTAAAAAATAAAGCACTTTTAGTTACATGAACTTGCACACATACACACAGACACTCAACTTTTCAGTGTACAACAGCTGAAAGCAGTAGAGGGAAATGTGTGCTTGTGTAATATAGAAACTTTTAATAAATCATAACAGCATAAACAACATTTCTTGAAATTTAAGTACAGCTTTCCTTCAAAGATTCGTACCAAATTCTCTTCCATGGAAATGTTAAACCTAAATGAATTTTAAAATTTGGTAAGTGGTGGAATAACTCCATTCTTTATAGTGAGCCCAAAACAAAGCAAAATGGGAAACATAACAATTTTTCAGAATTGAGTGTTTTGGAGGGGAGGTATTTAACACTATGTTTTAGAGCTGGTGTGTAAGTTACATTACAGGACATGCATGCTGTGGGTTCCCTGGGCAGCTGTGAGCTGGTAGGAATCATCTCTCCTGGGTGGGCAGCTCTGTGAAGCCTTTTAGAAGTGACTCCCCAGATTTCATAAATGAGGGATGCCATTCCAGGAGCATCAGGGTGCTGGGGCTGCTTGGCATTTTAAACACAGCTCTGCTAGTGTGTTCACAGTAGTTCGTGCCATCCCCAGGATCAGGCTGCTTAACTAACCTGCACCAGTGCCAGCTAGCACTGGCAAGCTCACTCAGGAGTGAGCTTGAAAAACTGGGCTGAGAACTCATGCTGAGCACAACTGCCCAACATTTGGATGCTGCTCAGATTCAGGGAATGTCAGGATAGAAAGGACATGTGAAGTTCTTCAGGGAGCTTCTCTGTCTCATCAGCTATAAATCAGTCAGTGTCTGTCTTCAAAGGGCCTGTGTCTGGAAAGCCTGAACACATGAGCTTAGGAGAGAGGCAGCAGGGTGAAATCCTTGTGTTGTGTACCCCGTGCTGCAAATGCTGTGTGAACTTTGTTGCTGAAGTATTTTTGACCTCTCTGCCTTCCCCACAGAGATCACAAGCAAGCATCAACGGAGAACTGTGCGCACACTGCAGCTATGTCATAGCTCTCCCAGTCTTCTGCAGTTTTGCCCCTTTTCTACACCCTCCCTGTGCAGGACAATTTGCTCATTCCTGATGAGATATTAGCAGGAGGGGTTGGATCTTTGCCTTATGACTTTTGTCCATTGAATGTGACACAGCTATGGTGTTGGAAGAGGGGGAGAACACTGCCATGGCAAGTGCTCTCTGCCTTCCAGGAAGTTTACCTCTTGCTAAGAAGCCTATTTCTCCTAACATAAGATTTTCCATGCTTTGGAAATCTAATAGGGTAAACTGACTCTGTTGTGGGGTGAGAGAAGCCCATGGAAAGGATAGTGCTCTCCTGCCAAGGGTATTCAGTATCACATGAGAGTGCACAGTACCCTCAGCCTGGTAGTATGGCAATTGCACAGTTTTTTTTCACATTCCTTCTCATGCATCTTGTTTCAAAAAGTTTTCCACTAAACTTCAAAATCCAGCCCAAGAAATTGTGTTCAAACCTTGCTGTGGGACTGAACTCACTCCTTGAATAAGGCGGCAAAGAACACTGAAGGACCCCCAGCATGCATGTCCTTTTACTTGGTACCTTGAGCTTGTTTTGCTCCCTATCACCTTAGAGCAACTTCCCAGACGTTCTCCATATTTATCCTCCTGGTCTGGAAGGAAGCCCACCTTTTATGTGACTGCTTCTGGCCTCTTTGTCTAGACCTTGAGGCTCTGTCTGCTGCCTTCCCCTTGTCTCTCTAACTTTCTGAGGGGCAGTCCCAGCCCTTCTCATTGTGGCAGGATGTATGACTTTACCCCATCCTATAAAGGTCTGCAAGAACACTATGTAGTGGTGAGTTCAGCATCCAAAGGCTCTCAGGACTCAGACAAAGAGCTGTTTGATTTCATGAGCTGCTGGAGGAGAATTCTTTATTTGGTACCATAATGTAATAAGACAATGTTTCCTAACATTAAGAGCCCTTGATCTTCAGTGAAACAGGAAAATCTTGCTCTAGGAGCTGGGTGCTGTATGTGTTCATTTCCCCTTCAATCTGGAAAGAAGCTATAGGTCCCTGTGAGTGCTTTGTCTTGGGGTTTGCATGCACAGGTCCTTGCTGTGAATTTCTGTTCTTGGATGCTGTGACTGGATTTATTTATTATATAAATAGTCTCTGTGTGAAATGAGGACCTCTGTGTGCAAAGTCAATGAGAAACTCCTCATCGCACCTGCATTTGTTTGATTTCTAGTGAGCACTTGACTGAATCACAGAGAAGTGACATCTCTTATGGTCTTAGTACCTTTGATCAAGCTCTCAGCAATCCTGAATATTACTGTTGATCCTGGGCACAAAGTATTTTTCTGATAGCTGTTGCTGAGATTAAATTCAGGCATATTGCAGAAATCAAGATTGAGATTACACAAAACTTTTTACTGTGAAGAAGAGTAGCTGTACACTGCTGTATCCCACTGATACAGATAATTTTACACTTCTTCTGTACTGTTAGGTGTAATGCAGAAAAGATTTTTGATTTAACTTTTAACTTTTGGGGACGTTTAGGAAGTTGATTAGATTTGGCATTAGATCTGTGCATATTTGATCTAGATCAAATATCTGTCAGAATTGAGGAGGGGGGTTCTGGTTAGTGCTCTAAAGTTAATCAAAGCTATGCCTAAGCTGTAGCTGGTGACTACTCCCCAAAGCTTGACCTGCCATCTGGTACATTACCTGCTTTCATGCATCTCTTTGTATTTTCAGTTGACCTGATTAGCTACTTGACACGGTTTGAGTGGGACATGGCCAAATACCCCATAAAGCAGCCGTTGAAGAATATATCAGAAGCATTAGCAAAGGTAAATTGTACTCCAGATTTTAAGATGTCATCATGGGGAAGCATGACTTTTGGCTGGTTGTGATCCCTCCTCTCATGGAGGGAGGGGATCCTTTGCCCTTGGTTTGAGCAGGAACAAACTCGGAAGCACGCACTTTGTACTGAAGCAGTTGATATTATTTTAATTTCTACTGCAATAATAATGATACATCTATTGAAACCTATTCAGTCTGTAAGTATATGGCACTTTATCAGATTCACTAGAGTACATTGATGTGTTTTATGCACTTTAATCTCCTTCATTGTAATTTTCTTTTTTTTTTTCCATATACTGCCATATTATTCTGCACTTCAGAGGTGTTTTTCATGAAATTGTTAGTCTGACATTAAATCAAAAGCCTTCAGGCTGAATGAATTATTCACACTGTCAGTTCATTCAGAAAGGGATGATGTGTTGTTGTGCAACATAGGTAACAAATAAAACCATGAACTTGTTCCTTAGGTACAGCTCTAGCTACTTTCTGCAGAGGCCTTTGCCTCAGGGGAGCTCTGACCCTGGCTCTCTCTTGGCCACAGGCTGGTGGTTTTAGGGGAGCTGGCAGCTGTTTCTCTGTGTTAAGGTGGTAGTTGTGGGACAGAGGTGAGAACAAAGCCCCAAGCACATTAACTCCCTTTTCTCACTTTGTTTTAGCAAGTGACTCAAATAGAAACAGACCTGAAGACCCGATCAGCTGCATACAACAACATTAAAGGAAATTTGCAAAGCCTGGAGAAGAAAACTGTGTAAGTATTTTGCACTGGGGATGCTGTTGCGTGGCTGAAATGTGGGCAGTGTGTCCTCACACCCATTGCTGTGTTCTGGTGGGAACAATTTTTCCAGCTTTGGGACATGCTGAGCATTTAGAGACCCAGTGAGAACAGGTGGTAGCTGGTGTGGTCGGCGTATCTCAAAATCAGCTCAGGGAGACTAAAGTTCCTAATAGGATTTTATTGACAGTGCAAGCAGGCAGCCTTGGAAAAAATCAACTGTTCTGCTCTGATGGGACATCAGGGAGTCAGAAATTAGATGAGCTGTGCCAGCTGGTGGATTCCTTTGCCACACGGAGCTGTGTCCTATGTTCTGAACAGCATTTGCAAAGCTCCCATAGGAAACAGCTCTGTCTTGCTTGATCCTGCACCTCACTAGCACCCCACTTATGTTTTTGTTTTCTTTTTTCCTTCTGTTGGTTCAGGTAATGCACTGCTCAGGCATCTCAAATGTTCTCTCTCCTGTCTTCATCTGCTTATGGTCTTTGCCTATGTCAGTGCTGATACCTGGGTTTTTTTCTAGAGTATCACTGGGGAGCATGGTAAAATCCAGTAAGTAGTAAATTTAAAACAACTTAGATGATGCTGTACAAGCCCTCACCCAACACATGCTCATATGTACTAGTGTTTCTACTCAGGATTGGGCACAGGGCACAGGTGGCTGCCTGACACTGCAGCCAGCCAGGCTGGCAGCCTGCTGGCCAGGGCTCCAGCAACGGGAGGAGGGAGAAGAATGGAGACCACCATTCCATCCATCTTTAAATGCTGTCAACTCTGGTGTCCACCAGGGCCAGAGAGCTTGGGTTGAACAAACATCTAATAAGTTACCAGCCAGTTAGTTAATATTTAGACTGGCCCAGTGAACCTCAAACCCAAAACTACTAGTTTAGGTCCTTCTTCATTCCTGCTGAGTGACAGGAAGGGCAACTTCTCTTCACACCTAGTGCTTTCCAGCCATATACAGCCAGCCTTGGCTATCTACATGTCCTAAGAATTAATGTGATCAGGTGGGCTTAGTATGTGGAGACATCCTGGAGACCTCCTGAAGGTCTCACCTGTGCATGAGACTGCTGCTCTCACTGCCGTTCAGCAGGAGGTGTCTCAGTGTGCTGGTCCACGGCAGTCCAAGAATGCCAGGCTGCTGTGATGGCTTAGGTCTGTAAGTACAACGCTCACTCTGCCTGCAGCACAGTCACACAAGCAGCTCAACAGGCTTCTTGAGAGATGCAGTGATGACTGGGAGCAGATGTGCACTTCCCAAGTATTTACACCCTTACTGTAAAAACAATAGCAGCAGAATGACGTCATTTTACATAAAGGGCATAAACTGGCCTCCTGCTAGTCACCAATATTGTGTCCTTTAGCATTAGTTACTTTTTGATTCTTTTAGTTGCAGTAAAAATAACGAAACAGCCATTTAAGAAGTGTTGCTGTGTCCTTTAGGTACCTCCTGCTAGGCCTTCTTCTACCCCAGTATATTCTATTAGCTTCTCCACCCACAGCACAATGCCTCTAATGTTCCACTGCTGAGCTCCTGCTTCTGTTATTTTTACTTTGTCTTCTTTACATAGGGGAAATCTGCTGACCCGGACCCTGTCAGACATTGTGCACAAGGAAGACTTTGTTCTGAATTCTGAGTATCTTATCACGCTGCTCGTCGTGGTGCCAAAGTAAGGCAACAGTGTGTGCACACACCCCGTGTGCCATTGAGTCCCAGGCCTAAGCACCAGAACCAGGTGATACCGGGTCAGGCTGGGGCAGCTCATGAGTGCCCTACTGAGACACAAGTGAAGCCCTTAACAAAGAGGAAAGAACAATTTCTGCCAAGAGTGGTGCTAGCACAAAAGAGGTAGACAAAGACTGCACCAAAGCTGGAGCACGACAACTGGCATGTAGGTTCTTCATGGTTATGAGTGGGTTCTCAGTCTCCTAATAGGAATAGTATGAGATAAAAAAACCCCAGATTTTTACTGCAGCATAGCCAGTTTCTAAAAGGAATTAGACCTGTTGAACTCACAATCTCTGCTGGCTGTGCCTATGTAAGTGGCTATATACAGGATGACTGCTACCAAAGGGGAAGTTACACCATGTTCTCCTCAGAGCCCTACACAAAACTTTTCATATAGCCCTGTCCCAACACACACATACAGCACCATTACTCTTCTGTCTCTGAAAAACAGATTGCAAAAGCTATCTGAGGTAAGTTTGTTGACTTCACTATATGAGTTTATTCATACTAAAAAGAGACTTCTCTCTTTGCAAACTCTTACCATACCTTTATTCCCTTTCTCGCAGGGCTGACATTCACCTTGAGTGCAGTCTAGCAACAGATCAGCTCTGGGATTGCACATAGGAGATATAGCACCCATGAACCAGAGCAGCTTGTGCAGGGGTCCTGGAGCATAGGACACTGTGTGGCAGCCTAGAAGTTTATGCCACATTGTTCTCACCATCAGTTTCCTGATATTGACCCTTCCTCAAGCCAAGATCCAAAGTGAAGATGGAGGGAAGCATCTCCTCAGCTGGTGACTAGGAGAGGAAAGGATAGGAGAAGCTTAATGTATCTTAAGGACATAACAGAGCACAAAGAGCTCAACCCTTCTACCCTAAGTTATTAGCTTAATTAACTACATATATAAACATTTGTTTTCCAGCATATAATATTTGTTTACTGTGCTTTGTTTTGTGTTGCTCAAAGGTCAAACTACCTACAGTGGCAGAAGACCTATGAATCACTATCAGATATGGTAGTACCTCGCTCCACCAAGTAAGTGAAATTCCAAATTAAGCTGTGTTTGTTTGACAGATCCCTGTCATGTTTCAGCCCGTTAAATGGCTGGATCCTAGAGGAAAGCACTAGTCTAAACTCATAGGCTACACATTAATGTATTTGCAATTCAAATAGAAATGAGTTTGTTTAAGGAAAGTATAGATGAAATAAAAAAGGTCAGTTTTTACAATTAGCTTCCCTTTTCCAGTAATCTCTTTTTATTTTGAACCAGGCCGTTACTTCTTTTTGTGTAAAACAGGCAATTTATTACATTAATTGAGGTATTGTTCAGACATATGTAATCACATAGAGGTTTATGGAAAGTACTTTATAAGAAGATGAAACACTAAATCTGCATTTTTAATTGTTTCTTGTTGTAACATAGAATAATTCACCATACTGTCATTTGCACTAGCAAAAGCCATGTTAGCTCATCCTTTCACCTCGGGTAAAAACTCTTTCCTAGGACTTAAATATTCCATTGCTCAGGTCATGCAGACTATGAGATCCAGTCCAGGGCACAAGAGCTGACAATTACTTGAAATGCAGAAGGTGGAAAGCATAGAGAAGGAAATAAGCTGTCTTGTCTACTGCCTGTCACAAAAACCCACGTGCATGTAGAGGTGGGGGAATATTACCAGGAAACACAGAAAAATCAGTCAGGCAGAATGTGTGTGTATTACAGTGGGCTCAGGAACTAAACCAATTGAGTTTTACATTGAGATAGAGTAACCAGTGCAAGTAAAGTAATTGTTCCCTGTTTCTGTCACAGCAATTTTCAAAAAGCATGGTGTTGTTCAGTATCATAAACAAAAATAAAAAGAATTGCAAAAAGGCAAGATGAGGTAGGTTAAAAAAGGCATGAGGGGTTTGCCATGTCAAATCATAGCAGTGAATTTCTCTCCCACAGAATGATTGCTGAGGATGCAGAGGGAGGACTCTTCACTGTGACCCTATTTAGAAAAGTGATGGATGACTTTAAGGCTAAAGCCAGGGAGAACAGGTAAGAAGCCCAGCCTGCTGGGCAGGGCAGGCTAGCAAGAGATGAGGATCAGGGGAGGCTTGTGTGTGCAGCATGTTGAATCCATCACTGGTTTTAGGACTTCTTGACTGCTTGGGTTTCTGTTGGCCGTAAAGCCACTGAGAAGGCAGGGTGGGAAGGAGCTGTGGTGACAGAATCAGTGATCCTGTTCTTAAACTCCAAGTTACAGATCCTGGAATTGCCCTTTCTGCTCTCATTCTGCTCTCATTCTGCTCATTCTGGCTTTCTGGGAGTGACTTCAACTCCTACCCTCCACATACTTCAACTTGTTAAATGGCTAACAACTTCCCATACCTGCTTCTCCTGGGGAAAAAGAAATGAGTGTGCATATTGCCTGGACTAAGGCATGTGAAAGAAAATGTTATTCAATTGTAGGTTCATGGTTCGAGAATTTTATTATGATGAGAAGGAACTGAAATGTGAAAAGGAAGAGCTGATGAAATTAGCTTCCGACAAGAAACAGCAATATGTAAGTAGCACCTTGTGAGTTGGTGGCCACATAGTGGCAGCCTTTGCTACCAGCATGTCCAAGCACGAATTTCTCTCTCAGAAATGGCCTTATGGTTCCAACTCTCTCTGGTGAGCTCCATTTAGCCCATGAAACTGAGGCATGGAAAAATAACAGTGATTTGGCCAAGGTCACTTGAGTTTCTGATAGACTGGGAGCCACTATCAGGCTGCCTGAAACTATCCCAGCAGCCCATGATGGCCTCAATGGCAGTGTTGTTGGCTGTGGAGCTGCTTCAGAGAGGGGATCACAGCACTGTTCTGGTCTCACAGGGCCCCTTACTGCGCTGGCTGAAGGTGAACTTCAGTGAAGCATTTGTGGCTTGGATTCATGTGAAAGCCTTGAGAGTTTTTGTTGAATCTGTCCTGAGGTGAGTAAACACAGAGTGCAGGCAGAGATTCCTGGGGAAGTCAAAATGTACAGCTCTCTTCCTGGTGCAGTTCGTTTGTGGGAGGAACCCTTACACACCTTGTTTTGTCTTGCGTGTGCCTTACACACTTCATTCCAGGAGCTCACGGGAGACAATACAGATGTCCACAAAAAAGGTGACATACGAACTTGATGAGAAACTGTTTTTGGGGGGCACTTACAGGGAAGGGGAAAACAAACAGAAAGACACTGTTTAGCTGACTTTTGGCTTCAAAAAGAAAATGCTTTCCAATGAGGAGGCAGCATTGTTTCTGCAACACATCACCAGTGGGCATGCCTGGATGCTGAGGAGGGAGAAGGGCACGAGCAGACAGCTGTGGCCCTTCCCAGCAGATGCTCATGTATCTTGTGTTCCGAGGTATGGCCTCCCTGTGAATTTCCAAGCAATGCTGCTGCAGCCAAACAGGAAGTCCGTGAAGCGCCTGAGAGATGTCCTGAACACGGTCTTCAAACACCTGGATGAAGTTGCAGCAGCAAGTATAATGGATGTATGTATTTCAACTGCAGGTGTAAGTGCTGTAGCTTCTCAGCTTAGCTGAATGAACACTTCCACTGGGGTTAGAGCATGCATCTGCACACATCTTGCAATTAGAGGAATCCTGGATGCAGCTCTAATCCCAGCTGGTTACAGACTGGATTAGGGTAAACTCAGATTATGATGCAGATGCAGAGAGATTGTTTATATTTTCTGCTGAAGCATCTGATGTTTACAGCTACCAGAACAAAACAGATCTACTCGATTATGGCTTCTCCTTTACATAAAAAGCTTAAAATCAACTATAAACATACAGATCAACACACGCAAGAAAAAATAATTTGGAACTAAATCCTAGGACTGTCACACCTCTGTCCTCTGTAAAAGGCTGTCATTTATAAATAATCTATGCCTTCAACAAGCAGCAGTACTTGCTTTCTTCTTCCTCATATCCTGAATTGCAATTCAAAACAATTTAGGCTGAAGCAATAAATGAGCTAGCAGGCCTTCGAAACAGCCTAAAACCAGCAAGCACAGGTCCTACTGCATAAAGGGAAGACAGAGATGAGTTGCTGCAGAGCTGAAGCACACAAAAATGCTGCAAGTTCAAACAGCACAGGCATTCTCAATGCTAATTACATTAGGCAACCTGAAACAAGAAGCAGAGCAGATTCTCAGTGGTGAATTCCCACCTTAAGCATGGCACATACAAAGCTCCATTGCTCCTGCGGAAAAGGAGCACAAAAGCAATCCCCTAGAGCTTGGAACTGCACAGGTTTACTGGTACTAAAGCCATTATTCCTTTTGCAGCCTGGCATGGACATCCCTGGGTTGCAACTGAGTAATCAAGAATACTACCCTTATGTCTATTTCAAGATTGACCTCAGTCTTCTTGACTGCAGTTAAAGAAGAATTGCTCAAGCTTCATCTATTAATTTTCAAGACTGTCATGTTACCATAAAACAATCTTTAGCTGCTGAAACTCAAATTAAAATGCAGATACTGTAGCAGGATGATCTTCCTACCACTTCTAGTAATTTTTACAGTGACTACAATAAAAGTTATCTCTTATTCATAGTTTTACAAAAACATATTTCAGAGGCAGAGGTACTATGGTAGTATTTATTTTTTTTTGGTAAATTACAAAGATGGAATATCTACTGGACTTGAAATAAAACAATTAAAAAAGTATGGTGGCTAATGGATCTACTAGGTGTATACAGTCCTCTTTTTCTAACAAAGCAAACTTAAAAAAACCCAAACAGAAAAAGTAGAAAGCATCAGAGCAAAGCCCAATGTTCCATTAATTTAACAAAAAAAAACCCCAAAAGCTTAAGAGGAAAGATCCTCAAAAGTGCTGTGGGACTTATCATAATATGACTTACAGTCCCAAGTACTCATGAGTTTAGTTTTTGCAAAGATATTTCAGTTAGAACAGTTCCATTACAGCTCATCTGCTGGGATGATTTAAGAGTTGGAGCACATCTCCTTCACAGAATCAGTAGTTACTGCTGGCTGCCCATGGTTCTGACACTGCCTTTCATAGGGATGAGCTACGAGCAATCTCTTACAGACACCAGATGACAAATATTATTTCCTTGAAAGAAGGGGAATATTTCAGCTCTTTCATTCCTTATTTATAAACAAGCTAATCACATCAGGGTCACTTCACTAGACACCAATATACAAGATATGGAGAGCAATAAAATAATAGTATTTTTATTAAAAAAGCAGCAGTAAACATCCCTATCACAGTCCTGATTCCCCTTCCAAAGGAAATAGCAATTTCAGATCAAAACAATGCCAGATGGGAAGTGAAGAAATATTACTCTATTTGCTGGAGACAGCACCAGGGTGATATTCTGTTAGCACCTGGAAATCCTTATGCCCTAAAACAGAGATTAGCTTCATCACTAATCCAGGGGAAAGACCAACAGTTCCCAGCATCACTCACTGCAGCAGCAACCCACTTCCATTGTTTTAATGATCTTATGAAGCCTGGCAAAAAGAAAGAGAAAGCCCCTGAGAAGGAATAGGAAAAGGAAGACTGAAGATCATTTAAACTAAGATTGTCCATTTTATCAAGCTTTAGCCAAACTGTCAAGATCTCACGGCAAGGAAGTGGTTTAGGACTCCCCTCTGCACAAGCCTCTCTATTATACAGTTAACTTTCAAGAGTCCAAAATGGGACTGCTTATACTATGTGCACCTTTCTTACTCTATACAAGACTAACACTGTGTGTCAAAAAAATTTTATTCTTTAATTGAAACAGAAGCTGAGCAGGTTCCACCTCCATGAAAAAAATTACAGTTAAAATTGGTTACACTAACAGCCTCCAGTAACACTCAAACAGCACATTATCAACAAAATAAAACCCAAGATGTTCCAAAGAAATATCCATGTTGTCCTCAAAATATTTGTTACACAGAATACAATCAAGTTTACTGGTAATGACAATTCATAGAATTTCTGCAATGTTTTCTTGAGATGCGTACAGTCCACTGCTGCAGTGCACCCAATAGCACAATGTGTCGTGCTACTTCTCCAAAAAAAGGCCACTGAAATATCTGTCTGACTGTGATCCAGGCTGCAAACTGCTGCGCAGGCTCTCCCAAGAAAAGAAGTTTCCTGAAGATCTCACAGCTCATCTTTACCCAAGTCATCCAGATCCACATCACTGAGATCAATGTCATCTTCAACTGGAAGCTGTTAAAAGGGGAAGGTTTTGAGTACATGTTTAGAAGTGCTTAATGCCAGGAGAACCCCGAGTCGAAAAGATTCTTACTTCATCCTGAGAGCAAAGCTCTCTCCTGTCATCTCTTTCATTCAGAAAACTCAAAGTGCACTAAGCACAGGACAAGTGATCAGAGTTTAGACTAGGAGATTGTTTTTTACTAATCAAAATACTCCAGATGAAGGCTATACAAATAAACTTTGTAAAAAAACTACTACCATATTCAGTGTTTTTATCTATCTAAAGTAGATCAAAGGACTTCAGTAACTTTGGTTTTTACAGCAATGTTGAATCTTAAGAAGGCAGACTTGTTACCATGTTATTTATTACACAAGCTTTACCTAAGAAGTTTTCTGGCATTAAAAACTTGATGGCAAAGTCAGCATAGTCAGAACTCCACAACACTGGGCTTGTGAATGCATGCATTACCGCCTTCCTTAGACAGCACTGGTAATATTTCTGCCTCAAGTGATCCAGCTTTCAGATCACACATCCAAACAGGCAGGAACATCATCTGGTCTGCAATGTCAGATGATCAATGTACCATTTGGTCTGCTGGCAGGATTAAGATAATGGGAAACCATCAACACAGCTTGCCACAATCTTCTGAGAACAGGAACTTTCACACTGACAGGTGTCAGTTACTCTATCCTGTCACTTATGAACACAATTGCTGAGCACTTTCAGAAATGGAGTATCTCTTACCTCACCATCTTTGCCATCCCAAGGTTCAACTGAATGAATTTTGGGGAAAGCTCCACCACCCACTGGTGCTGTAGAACCACGACCAACAGAGAGTTCCCTGAGAAAAAACAAGTAGAAGTTAAATTTAAGAAATTCCTCCAACTTCTATCCACCTGGAACACAGCCTGCTTCAGATAAGAGGAATACAAGTTCAAGATTTCCTCTCTTTAAGTAGATCTAAACTGTCTAGATGCAAGAACTTCAAGAAGCAGAAAATGACAGAGCCCTTAAAGCAGCATTGAAAATTTACAACTGAATTCGAAGACATCTGTTAAATACACTATTTCATATTTACACAGTGTAAAAATCACAGATAAGTGCAGCCTCTTTAACAGTGATTTCTTTAGTGAGATGGCCTCCATGAGTTCCAAAGGGTACAAGGTAACCAGCTTCGTTTAAGACACTCTATCTTGAGCTTGTTAGTTAGGCTTGCTCGAAAAGCCCAGCGTTAAAATCCTGAGGAGTTAATCCCTTTGCATCTTTCAGAGGCAAATAAGACTGAATTAGCATTCCTCCCCAAATGGAGTTCACAATTTTTCTGCCCTTCACAGTGCCAATTTCCTTACTTGTAGTTAACACTAGTGACACTGCCTATGAGATTGCAGAAGCTGCCTACAGCAGCTGAGTGAATGGCCAGTCACACCAGCTGTGATTATACTGCTTTGTCTAGGCAGCATAGCTGAGCACAGGAAGAAATTATTCTAGCAAATAGCGCTGCATGATAAGACAATACCAAACCAATTACCTAATGCAATATAAGCTGTTAAATTGGCTGTTGTGTCCTGTAAGCACCAGCCTCACCCAGGAGAGGCTTCACTAAGATGGACATTATAGACCAGGAAAATTTGCCATGTCTGACAAAAGCAGACACTTTCACATGCAGTAGTGCAAACCATCTGGTATTTCTCTTCTTGCATCTAGATCCTGAATTTAACTTGATGCCCTAAGAATGTCTTATTTTTTTTTGCATTAAGAAGAATGTCTGATCACTTTCACAGGTAAGAATGTGGCACTGATTTCATTAATTCAGTAGGAACTGCATTCAATTAATGTACTTCTTATGGCAAGGTGGGGAGAGGCTGTTGCATTTGTTTTTACAATTCTGGCTGTTCTCTGCCGTTCTCCAAGGACAGACATAGAAATAACACTTCTAATGTAAGGTATCAAGGGCTCTTGCATAATTTACAGCAGCTGGTACTTTACGTGTGTCCTGAGCTGACTTTATAATGCCTGTATCCCCATTTGTCTGTTTAGCCCATAAATAAGTTTTGCACCTTTAAAACTGGTTCCAAGAGGAATGGGAGAGAGAGAAGCACAGAGTTTATTATCAGGAACTGCACTTACTCCCCCACATCCTTCTCCTGAACAGTGCTGTCTGCAGAACAGACAGACGGCGGGAGAGAGCTTTCCTTTGCTTTTAGCTATCTAAGGCAGAGAAGTTTTCTGGACTGTGGTTTTTCTTTGTCTTGGAATGTTTAAACCTGCTCTGGACTGAAAACCTGGAACAGCACTGGCAGCTCACATCCGTGGCCCACTGGGCCAGGCCTGGGCCACAGAATTTCTGTGCTGGAGGGACTGATAACAGACTGAGTGAGCTGAACTTCAGCCCACAAAGGGGACTTTCTGAATTAGTCATCTCTTCAGAGCAGCAAGAGGTTTTATTGTTAAATATATTCTTTTTTTTTTTGTGCTGGTAAATGCTTTGCCAGTTTAACGAAATAAAGTTTGCCAAAATAAATAGCTTTTTTCTCTTTTTCTCCAAGGAAATATTTTCCCAAAACAGTTGGGGGAGGGGCTACTTGAATTTGCTTTCTAAAGGAACCCCTTTGAAGTTTTCTCCCAAATTTGCCTTAAACCAAGACAAATACATTTTTTTGGTGCTGAGCATGGGGCTTGAGAAAAAGGAAAAAAACTGTATGAACTGCATTTTGGTTGAACTTACTCTGTATTGGGATAAAGGAGTCAGTAGCCATGTTCATAATGAACTCATAATGTCTCTTGGGGTGAAGGTCTTAATGTGTTTCTGGTTCTTAGGCTTTTTTGAGGTTTTAATACCTTTCTGCTAATTTTCTTATCTGGAAATAGCTCCAGTACTGTCCCTAACATGTAGCGTTTATAGTAGAGGGGCATAGATTAGGATAGCCATTGTGCTGGGCTCAGCGATTATGATTTATAGGGAGTTTACAAAGGTACTGGAATCTGTTCAAGATATGTATGGTTTACAGTTTCTTCATCCTACCCTGCATCCTAGCTCCAGTAGCATGTTTTGGGGGTTTATTGGTAATTGCATCCAGCTTGTTAGAGGAGGAGCAGGGGATGAGGCTTTTCAGCCTTTCCTTTCTTTCTTCTCCTTTGAATCTGTTAAGTCACTTTTTGAGAATGTTAAAGATACCAGTGTCCCAGTATTTAATCTAGTAAGCTTCCTTTATCTGGTCTGTAGCTTGTCTAGAATGAGGGCTGAGATGTCCACAGGAGCTGATGATACCCCTGGCCCAGAAGTTGACCCAGGCATAGAACATCCTGAGTGGTGTAGAGATTGAGAGGATATGGGCCAAACTCTGAAGCAATTTTCTGAGCATGTCTGGCAGAGCAGTGCTTAGTGGTGGAGTCACTTTATTCAAGGCACGACAGTCTACTGTCAATCTTTATTTTCTTTCAGGTTTGCATACAGGCTAAATGGGATTGTTGAACGATGAGTGAGTTTTGCCGACCACCCCTTGGCTCTC